TCATTTATCAAAAAAGCTGTAATAAATGATTTTTATATACACTGCTCCACAAAATGATATGGACACTTACTTTTTTACCAATTTTATGCTCTTAAGAAACGATAGTGAAAAAAGTTGTTTTATAGTATTTTCCTTATTAGATTTGCCATTGAAACACATTAGATATACTACCATAGTTTGGAATATGAATGTTTAAAAACCGAATTTTGTAACAAATGCCCTTTGGCGCTTTCCACATAATGATATGGACACTACATAAAATTTTTTATTTAGCAACAAAAAAATGATTTTAAAAAAGAGCAACAATATTTAATAATCAATAGGACCTCCATTGTTTCGAATCAATTCAAAAATTCGATTATCCATGCTGACCACAAGTTTATCGATCATATTTTGGTCTACTTTTCTCCAGGCATCAATTATGGCAGATTTCAGAGAAGGCACGTCTCTATAAGTCTTGTTTCCTGCGTAAATGTGACGTACCATGAATCCCCATACATTTTCTTGCACATTCAAGTCGGGAGAATTGGCAGGCCAGTCGAGGAGTCAAACTTGCTTTCGTCGTAGCCATCTTTTAGGGCTTTGGCTTGCATGTATTGGAGCATTGTCCTGGACGAAAATGTGATTTTGGCCTTGATTCCGACGCCAAAACGGAAGAAGTGCTCGCCGCAAGATAAATTGATATTGGACTGAATTCATACGCTTTGGGACAAATGCCAGTTTTACTCCGCCAGATGAAGCAATTGCTGCCCATACCATCACACGACCTCCTTTGAAGTTTCTTCGCGAAAAGCTAATCTTTTTCTTTCTTAAATCATGCCAATAACTGCGGTTTCCATCAGGCCCATCACAGTTAAATTTTTTCTCATCCGACCACACGACCTAAACATAATAATAACTTTCCATCAGCCAAGTAATCACACCCACCTTACTCCAGTCAATTCTTCTGTTTTTGTCGGCGAATTCTAGTCTTTTCTTGCAATGATCTTGCGTCATAAACGGTGCTTTACGCATCTTCCTTCGCACAATAAAATCGCTTTTCTTTAGCACTCGACGGACTGTTTCGCTTGACACTTTGAGCTTGAGATTCGCCTTGATATCCGAGCAGGAAAGCGTAGAGTTGGATGCTTCTCTGCAAATGTGTCTCTTATCTCGCTTAGAAACCAAAGGTTTTCGACCAGTCGACTTTTTTGTTCCGTATTGTAGAGGATCGGACAGATAGGTTCCGATTAACGTTGGTGTTCGGTTCAGAAATCGTCCTATTGCTCGATTTGAGTGTCCTTCGCGATTCATTGCCTCTATGATTCCAGTTTCCTTCTCCGACAGCGGTGGTCCCCTTGGCATTTTTCAGAGTACCTTGAAGATATGATTTTTGAGCAAAAGAGCTAAATTTTCTGAAGAAAGATGAGAAAAAGGCCGAAAAACAAAGTGTCCATATCATTATGTGGAAAGCGCCAAAGGGCATTTGTTACAAAATTCGGTTTTTAAACATTCATATTCCAAACTATGGTAGTATATCTAATGTGTTTCAATGGCAAATCTAATAAGGAAAATACGATAAAACAACTTTTTGCACTATCGTTTCTTAAGAGCATAAAATTGGTAAAAAAGTAAGTGTCCATATAATTTTGTGGAGCAGTGTACAAGTATTTTTAAAATCTTTTAAAATCTTTTAAAATCACTCTAGCTCGATTGGAAATGCTCTAAAAAAACGAAAAATATGTTTAAAACAAGAATATTTTTTTTCGGCTTTGACCCCTGGAGGTCGGACTCTCGAAAATGATAAGGGTCTCCCCTCACAATTTTTTCAAAAAAGTATTTTTGAAAAATTTTTTTAGACCCTTTTAAATTTTACTGCCAACCCTTCTAGGTTATACATATGGCCCATATACACCATTCTAAGCACTTTTCAGCGAAACTCTTTTTCAAAACTAATGACTTTTTGGGTGACCAATTTTGTATGGGCAGGGTGCGCTTCTATTAGAATATTTACGGTATGTTCATTTTATCATCTGTAGTGTCTAATGAACAATTTGTAAAGAGGTTTTCCTCTAGATATTTGCTCTTTCGGGATGAGGAAAATGGATTGGTGCGCAGAGATCTTATTCAGCTAAAATCTCTTCTCACTCAAATACTTCGGGCGCTCGAGTTTCTTCATCAATGTGAAATCATTCATCGAGTAAATACATTTAGAAATCTTACGTTAAAAATCTTTGAATTCACAAGATATAGTTGATTGCACTGTTTTCAGGATGTCTCACCAAGAAATATTGGAATTGATCAGGAAACTTTTGTCGTCAAGCTACTAGATTTTGGATCAGCAAGGTACATAAAATGACACAACATTTCCTAATCTACCACCAATTTATAGAGAAATCAATCCAAAACTGGATCACTCGGCAAATCTAAAGACAGCACTTATTTACAAATCTCTCGAATTGTATCAGAGAAGCAAGTACAATTCGAGTGTGGATATTTGGGCTGCAGCTCTTGTTGCTGTTGAGTTCTTGGGTGTGAAACTGATGATGCCAACTGGAACACCAGACGAGGTTGCGACTAAGGTTTGTTTTATTGCTTTCTTATCAAACATGGTTTTTAATAACGATTTTGTTAAGCATTGAGTCCAATTTAGCTTCGGAAACGAGGTGCCGAAAATGCGATGAAAGATCGAATTTTTGCTGTACTTGGAATTCCCGATGATCAATATGAATCAGTGTGCGTAATGCATGCGTAGATAAAAGTGTATTTTGAAAGTTCGACAATAATTGGAAAAATATCTCATTCAACAAGTTTCAGTTTCGGAAGAAAAATATTCGAAAAACCGCAACCGGCTAGATTTGATGAGATTTGGGAGAAGGAAATTAAGGACAGATTGGGATCTGGCAATGAAACATTGAAAGGCAAGATAGTTCGGTGAAATCTTTAACACTATGAAATTTAGGAGAAGATTTCAAATCGTTGATCAAAAACATGCTGAATCCAGATTGGATCAATCGCCTCACAGCCGCGAATTGTTTTGCGGAACCATTTCTTCTTTGAAGGAAATTAAATGAAAAAGATTCATTATTCATTTATTAAAATTAATTCGTTCTTTTCGTTAAATCAGTGAATCTTTTGCTCCGTGAGTGGGTCACACTTCACCATTGAATGATCGGGCTCAAAGCCTAGCGCAAAACTTGCAATAGTACTGACAACCATAATCACTAGTTGATCATTCATATACATTTGTGACTAAAGAAGAAAGATATCTAGATTGTCATTTATTTGTTTCACTTCAAAGATCTGTTTTAAAATCTACGATTTAGCTTCTTTTTTCAAAACCCCTTCTCAAAACAAAACAGCAAATTAAATTTCTTTGGTATTGGATTAAAGTAATTCCAAAACGCTTTCTTTTTTGAAATGAAGCTTGCTTGCTGTTTGAAGAACACTTGAGAGTTCAATAAGAAATTGATGTCGAAAAATCGAAAATTGATGTCGTAAATATTTATGATTTTTTGTTTGTATCTTGCAACCGTTTTCTCGTGTCAGTTATTCTCGCATCCCCCCTTTTTATCTTCTATTTTCTCTCTACTTTTTCTTTTTGGCTCAACATTTTTTGTAAAAGAAAAATGGGTTTCCTATTGGGATAATGTACAACTTTGTGTAACAAGGTCACATGCTAAATCAGGTAAGAGGTAGGGTGATTGGTTGAACATTTTGGGTGATAAAAGTATTCGAAAAGGGTAGTTTTGTGGTTTGTTTCACAGATACTTGAAACAAAACAATATTTCGCAAGAAAAATATTGAAAATGCAGTTTATTCAATGGGAAGACAAAAGATTGCCTCATATAAAGCAGAAACTGTCATACCCATTTAGAAAACAGTTTTGTAGAAAAAGCATAGAAGTATGCTATTTTGATGGGTCAGCTTCAAAGCCTCATGATCCAAATTTCTCAGATCTAATATATATTTCGAGTGTGCTAGAAAAGTTTTATTGGCAATTGTTAAATTTCACAGAATAGAATCACATTATGTATTATTAGAATGATTAAGAAAGGACAAACCAAAAAGCATTACTTATTGCAAGTGAAAAGATAAGCGGTCTTGTGACATTTCCGTTGAAATGGGTAAATAAATATCTGGGGGTTTAAGAAGAGCAAACAGGAATAGAACGTGTCCCAACTGGGTGTGCAAAGCAGAAAGATTTGCAAGATTTCATTAGATTTAATTATCAAAAAGCATCATATACAATGTGGATAAGCTTATGGTTGATAAAATCGGTTGTAGAATTTTTTTTCAAATAACGCAAAACAGCGAAACTGTTTCTGTTCTGCTTTGTCTCTTGCCTTTTATCAACGTATGAAATGTAAGAATCAAGTAAATCATATAGAATATCTAAATCATCATGCCTCTCTGAATATACATCTTTTTTTTGGGTTTTTGATTTTTGGTAATGAAAAGTGAACACAGTGACTGATCCTCTAATACAGAAGAATGATAGAATATAAATCAACCAGGCAACAGATGTGACTTGGAATATTTTTGAATCATTCCAACTTATCCAAGCTCAAATCTGGCACAAGAGATTACAATGAAAAGCAATATTTACAATCAATGGAAAGGTAACCAGGTGAATTTATTTATTTAATTTATTGAAAAAGAAATGACAGAAGATAAAAATCAGATCTGAGAATAATATCTTGACTATGAAGATATCTAACGAGAGAATTATTGACACTAAATTTATGACTAATTTAGATGTGAGGTCGACACTAAGAGCTACCCTACCCGTGATCAGTGAAGTAGAAAATGTTTGAATTTTTAAAAATTTGATTAAAGTTCAATGCTTTTAAATCCCTGATATATAAAATTACTATGGTCATTAATTTGTTTTTCAAAATTTTTCCATTTCATTGCCACAGAGATGACCCTTAGTGACCTTCCTCTTTAAAATAACATTATTACAAAACCCGCGGCCGGATGTGCTACCAGAGGCCATTGAAGCCGTCACTTTTGGTTTAATTAAAAAATTTCTCATCAGTGAAAAGACGCTGATTGCGTGGATCGGCCATTTCCTTCAAAAGGACCTCTCGATTTTGAGCGTTTCGAGATTTCATCTGTTGATCGTCCTTTGGTTGTTTTCCAGTACCGAGTGAACTGGCTCGTTGATCGTATTTTTCCTAAAAAAGTACTTTATTTTGAATTTTCAGAGTACTGATTGGAGCCATCTCGTTAGTCCATATTTTCAAAAACTCAAAAGACTCACGTTCAAAATACGCAAAAACGGATGAAGGAGACATTCATCGGCCCGCAAACGTTGTTGTTGATTTGGGTGAAGCATCTTTTTAATTAAATCTTTAAAGTCATCTCCTGAAATTTGAAATTGTAACAAGTTTTTATGCCAACAAATTTACTTCTTAATGGCCCGATATCTCTATCCAAACGTGGCTCGATTTTCTCCTCCCAAATCTTGTCAAGCTCGCCGGCGTGTGGTTTCTCTTCAATGGGTCGGCCAAAGCTGAAAATTTCTGCTCAAAATGTCTCTTAGATAAAGTCTTTTTCAAAGTTTAAAATTTTAAGCACTTTTTGTTGTTTCAACCTACATTGATTGATATTGGTCCTCTGGGACTCCAAGAACGGTGAAGATCCTGTCCTTGACGGCGTTTTCCATTCCAGGTTTTCCATTCTAAAAGGTTAAAGTGAAGAGCAATTGAAATATGGCAGTTTGTTTTATTTTCAGTTTCACAAACCTTTTTTGTGATTTCTTCATCGTCTTCAGTTGGCATAAACAATTTGATTCCCAACATTTCAAGAGCAACTAAAGCTGCAGCCCAAATATCAACTCCTGTATTGTACTTGGTTCTCATGAAGACTTCAAGAGATCGGTAGATGTAAAAAGTATCAACATTTGTCAAGTGATCGAGTTTTGGATTTGTTTCTCTGAAATATTGGTAGCTATTCATAGAAGAGATAAATTTGAATACCTGGCAAGTCCAAAATCAAGAAGTTTGATCTCGAACTCTTTTTGGTTCATTCCAATGTTTCGGGGAGTCACATCCTGAAAACAATATTGGTAAGGAAATCTTAAAGCTTGTGATCAGGAAACAGACTTTTTAATCTTTCTAATCTTGTCTTACCCTGTGCATGATTCCACGTTGATGAATGTAATCAAGAGCTCGAAGTAATTGAGTGAGAAGTGCTCCAACCTGGCGGAGTTCTCTTTTCACCGGCTCTGGTGTTTCGTCTTTACGGCGGAGATGTCTAAAAGTTAACATTATTAACTTCAGTAATCAAATTTCCGGGTCTTTAAATAATCATTTCTATTCAATTTTATCTACTTATCAGCGAACTTTGCTTAAATTGTGAACAATTCTACGTGGGTGGTCCTTTTCTTTCTCCTCTACAGTAAACCTTCTTATCATTGATGAATCACCACCAAAAAAACCAAGAAAAGGCTTTTCTCGACAACTATTTTCCTTAAAAACCATTCTTGCAGTAAATTTTCTCGTTAGATTTTCTGAAAATTGTCTTAAACTCACTCAAAATATTTCTCCAAAGTGTGATCCATTCTTTCGGTGACAAGCCAGATGTGTGTTGGATTTTCGGGCTTCTCCACAAAATCATCATAAAATTCGACAATCTAGAGTCAAATTTTATACTTTGTATGCCTAAAATCTCTCACATTCTCATGTCGATTGAAACGAGAAATTTGAATTTCTCTTCTGAGGCGAGTATAACCATCACTTGTTTGCTTCAATTCTTCAATCTTGTATCTAAATGTTTACTTATAAGTATTTCCATTATTCAATTTTTAAAAACCTCTTTGCAGCTACAGGTTTTCCATCTCGATTTACAGCGGCACTAAAATAAATGTTATTCCTTGCCTTGAGTAGTGATTTTCTTCTAGGCCCGTTTGAAAACTTACATAATATCGGCAAAATTTCCACTGGCGATCACATGATAAACATGTTTATCTTCATTGAGTTTCGGTGGACGATAGATACGATCCTTCTAAAAAATGGGGCAATTATGATGAGACTGTGAAGAATGAGCAAGTTTTTTTGATATTCTTATCATGATTTTACTTGAATAATACTAAGCACTTACCGTATCCGGTTTATATTCTTCGGGCAATTCAATGTCACCCATCACTTCCTCGAAATCTTGCTTTCCATCTTTTGTGATCGGTTTCACAAAAAGAGTCCTGGCTTGCACGAATCTATAAAAATCGCGAATCGATTCACGAATCTCTACCAATCAATTCATACACTTGCCTCATTGCTCCATTCCCAATATGGCGTTCAACAGATGTTGTTGTCGTTTCTCTGGATGTTGTCGCTTTTTCCAGATAAGGCTTTAACCTAAAGAACTAATAATATAAAATATAAAAGAGAAGATGAAGTGAGAATTTGAAAATCAGCTAGGAGGTGAGGGGTAAGACTTTCGCAAGAAAGGGATGCCATATCTCTTTCTTTTTTTTCTTGAATTTAACTTTAGTCCCAAAGGACTATAGGAATTCTGCTAACAATAAACCAAACTTAGCCAAAGGCACAAAATATTATTTTGTAGACGAACAAGAAAAAAGTTTAACAGAGTTAAATTTTTTATGGAATGTCACAAAATGTAATTTTGTGCATTTGGTTTAGTGTCGCAACAACTGTATTCTATTTTGCGCCGGGTTTCACATCGACTGTAGTCTGTGGTTTAAGAAGGAGAAATTTGGTTGGAAATTCATTCTGGTTTAATTGTAGCAGGTTTTTTAGTGATTAGTAGAGTTATTGAGATGTTGATTTACGGCTTCATTATCTATTTTCTTTTTGGTTATACTGCTGGCCAAGAGATGGAGGCCCGTATTCAACGCCCATTCTAAAATTTTAAAATGGGCCCTTTACTGGTGTGCATTTTTCATTTTAAAAATCGATTTTCTTGTTGGAAGCTCAATCATTCACATGGATATACACAGCAGAGTTAAATGTTCGAACTTAGCTTATCCTGGCTACACTATGGGTAGATAACTAAAAGTATACATCCCTAAAAAGTCTCTTTGCTATGTACAGGGTGGCTAATAAGTATTGCCGCATGCTTGAACGCGTGTTATTTCTCGAGGCTAATTCCAAATCTCATGAGAAACAAATAAAAAATGTTGCTAAGAGTCTAAGGAATCTAAATATATGCATGAATATTTGAGACAATGACTGTGGAAGATTTTATTGCTATTCTTGTGCTCTTTAAAAAAGTGTCATTTTTCCCCGCAGATTATCCACAAGCTGTTTTCACCTGCGAAAGTGTTAAATCTCCTCCTTCAAGAATTCGGATCAACAGCCGACAACTCTCCACCTACTCGCCAGGGATTGAAAGTGAAAGGTGCTTTCGAGAAGGCTCCTTCGAGAAGCCGAGATGGAACACGTCGACATTGATGATGGCGAAGAAGAACTCGGGTGTCAAGGAAGTGAAAGCCAAGCCGACAAAGACTGGGAAGAAGAGGAAGAGGATACGGTTGACGTCTCCTTGTCAAATTTTGAAACTCGATCCGACATTTGCTGTCGAGAAAATTTTTCTGGACCCTGTTGTGAAGTGGATTGTGCTGATGTCCCTTTTGTTCGATGTGCTTATTACATTTCAAGGAGTTTTGTTTCCTTCATTTTGTTGCTTCTTTTCACCGTTGTTGATTTATTTGCGGTTTGAATCAATGTTTTGTTATCTGTCCAAAAATCTAAAAAATGCAAAATTTTGAGAAAACCAAAGTTTCAAAAAATCGCCTGATGGTTGTATGGAAAAAAGTCAAAAATGTTTGGAAATTTTTTTAAGTTTGTGCCAAATCGAAAGATTATCGTATGGGTAGTACCTCGGGACATTAAAACAACATTGCTTAGACAACATTTTGAGTCTTTTTTAAAAAAGCAAAAAGAAAACACAAGTTGAAACGGAGAACCAGAGAGTCTCCACTCTGTATCCCAACGACCACTACACTATCGAAGCATATTCGAAGGAGAAAGGGTATGTGGTCAAATAAAGAAGTGACGATTTCCTGGGTTTTGACCTTTTTGACGACAGCGAAATGTTTATAATATTGGAGGAGTTTATAATCGTTGTATTGGAACCGTAATATTTGAGCTTTGCAGCTGAATTTTTAATATGTTGTTCCCCAGAGTCGATTCTACCTATCCACCGATTTTGGGGGCAATCGGCCAAGAATGATCAACTGAAGAAAGAGCACGCCACTTTCGTCTCGTTCATGGAAAACAACAAGGCAAAGGAACTCAGAGGTCCATGGATGATATCGAAGAAACAACAGGATTGATTCGTCTTCTCAAGCGACGACACGAAGAGCCCAATCAACTCGAAGCCCGCCGCCCAATACATCAAAGAGCTCTTCGAGAAGTTTGGACTTCCAGTTTACAAATCACATTTGCTGAGAGCTGGAGGAGACACTGCGAAAGCCGGAAAAGGAGTCCCGCTCGAAGCACTGCGTCGAAGAGGTCGCTGGAATTCGATAGTCGGAATGAAACCCTAGGTGCACGACTCAATTGGAGCGCAAGGAGAACCGACAGTGATATATGCCTGAAGGCAAATTTCAAGTAGTTTTCTGTTTGTTCTCGGTATAATATTGTTACGAATATTGTTATTTTTTGATTGGCTATGTTGATGTTAATTAGATGTTGTTTTCTTTTTTTCTGCTAACCAATAAACCTTGCCTACCTAACTCACAACAAAATGTACCAAAAATAATATTTTGTTTTTGAAGCGCAAAAGACCTAACCCAAAAGACAAAAGACCCAACCTAACCCATTCTGTTCTGCCATCAAATCCAATTGGTTTCATCAATTCTTTTTGGTTTTTATCTTCTGTGGGCATAAAAGGGAGTGAAGAGATGAATTCATTTGCCTAGGTTATTATATTTGAGAAGTTTAAAATTACAACAAAAAGGAAACTTACTAAACTATTCGGTTGGGAAGTATGCAATATCTCAAATTCCCATTTACTCCTAGTTACTCATTTAAAATAATCTCTAGAATAACTTGCATTTTTATGGTTTATGTAGAATTCTTAGGACTACCATATCTCGGGACAAACATATCCAAAATAAGTCCTCTCTCAGCGTAAACTGCCTGAACGCCCACTCTCTGGCATACAGTCGGCTATGTTTGGTTCAATTACCCAAGTACGAAATGTATTTCGACAAATTAACTCGTTTTTTTTGCAGTATTTTACTCACTGCTTGAACTACGAAATATCCCTTAACTCCTATTTACCTATTTTACCATTAAAATAAATAGAATAGAAACCCAAGATAGCTATGCCAGCCAGTGGACGTTTAGGCAGTTTTCACTCAGATAACGCTTATTTTGGAGAAGTTTGTCCGCAGGTCGGCGTGAAAATTACCACCAAGAAGTGCTTTTCTAATTATTTTAAACATGAATTTGGCCGAAATTCAAAGCTTAACTATTTAAAAGTTTCGCTGTATATTTTGAAAGAAAGACGAACTTTAGTGATGGAACACGGGTTTACATGGCATCTGAACAGAAGTCAGCTTCAATCTGGCTAGTCCTAAGAATCCCGCAAAAAAAACATGAAAATTCTGTTCATTAGAATGGTAAAATAAGCGAAAGGAAATTTACGAGATTTCATACTTTCCAACCCAATATTATAGTAGGCTAGAAATTCAACTTCTTTTAGAAAAGCTTACTTGCTGTGTTTGTTTGAGGAAATCCAAGACTCCAGAAGCTGCTGGACGACGAATACGTTGAAAGTTAGTACAACTGATAGGTGAATTCTTAAAATATGAAGGAAACTCTTGAATCCAAACCTCGAGATGATCTTTTGAATTTCTGTTTGACATTCAGGGGATTCGATTTCAGTAAGACGTCTGGGTATAATATCAACCAAGAATAGGTCACGATCAAACACTCCAGATATTTCATATTTTTTGAAAATGGTTCTAAAACAATAATAGTGCAATATCAATCAATAATTGGTCACGATCCAACACTCCAGATCTCCCATAGTTTGTGAAAATAGTTCTACAATAATGAAAATGTTGTTTTGAAGTCTTAGTTATATTTCAAATGAGATCAATATGCCAATACTAATACCTCCTTTCGATGATTTCCCACATAACAAGTCCCAGACTGTAGACATCATTTCGATGGGAATCCTGGAATGAATCTATCTTTCCATTGAATAGAAAAGAATGTAAAACTAACGAATACGTCGGCCTTCATCACTTGTTCATAAAGATCCCGTTGTACCCCATCCTCCTTCATATCAGGTGGACTCATATATCGTTGTGTTCCAATAAACGTCCCCGTAACAGTTCCATCTCCCACTACTTTTACCGCTCCGAAGTCACCAATCTTCAGCTGGTATTCATTGGTCACAAAAATGCTATAAATGGATTGTTTTTCCACATTTATACCACTGAATATTACTTGTCTGGTTTGATATCTCGATGTACCAATTTGTGTTTCTGATACATGTGATCAATGGCATCAAATAATTGGATTCCCCAGGTGAGAACAGTGTTCATTGAATATGTAATTGTTGAATCAAGAATCACTAAACTCTAAGATATAACAATTCCAGTCCAATCCCAACCTCCCTTGAGTGGTCCTTTCTGACAATATTCCATTACAATTCCCACTTTTATTCCTTCTTCTGTATATCGATACAATCGGACCACATTTACATGATAGATGTTCTTCAAAGCTTCACATTCATTTTTGAAGATCTTCAATTGTGCATCATTTCCACAAAGCATATATTTGATCGCAGCTGGGCTAAAAAAAGAAGCTGATGGTACAATTCTACAAAAGACCAAATGTTGAAAATGGCAGTGAATAGATCCAAAATGACCAACGGTTCATGCCCAATCAATTCGTACACTGCCCCCATTGTTCCATTCCCAATACACTCTCCCAATACAAATTGATCAAATGTTGTCATTTGTCACGGATAAGGTTTTGAGTTAAAGAATAAATAATATAAAATATAAAAGAGGAGATGAAATGGGAACTCGAAAAGTAGTTAGAATGTGAGGGCAAAAACTTTTGCAAGAAAGGGATGTCTTATCTCTTTCTTCTCTCCACTCTTTTCTCATATTGATTGATTCTGGGTTTTGGGAAAAGGAAACGGGTATGATAACAATAAACTGAGCGTTATTGGTTCATTCAATATTTTGGTTTTTCTTAAATTTGACTTAATTCAAAAAAGGCTTTGAGAACCACAAAGAACATGTAGTTTTCTGTAGTTTTCTATAATCGTCACCTGGAGCCAAATTCCAAATTATTTCCAAACTAAACATTTAGGACAACATTTATAGAATGGGCCAAATCAACAAAAAACATATGATTTGGCTGCATTTGAAAAGAGTCGAGGTCTTGAACAAAGCCTTATCTCTCGCTCGCCCTATCAAATTGCCATGTATGATTTTGAATTTGTCTCTCTAAAATTGTCTTTATTCAACGATTTACCTAGGAAACCCTTTCGATTTGGTTTAGTGCTATCTTTGGGACGTTAGATGAATTTTTATGAACAAAAAGCGTGGGGATGAATCACCGCATCTACCCATTATGCTGCAATATTATTAACTGTTCGTAGGCGTATCTTTTTCAAGTTGGTGTATGATATTCGGATGGTATAATCTCTTCAGAATTTTGTGCTCTTCTCGAAATCGTTCCCTTTCTTGATCCTGAGGAATCAAGCCATTGTTTTGGGAATCTTTTTTCCTTTTCGTCACAGCTGGGCTAAATGATAATCATTTTAAAAGTCTACAAGTTAATCTTTTCGATAATCATGTTAAATTTTAATAGGTTTTTTTGAAAGTTTCTTTTAAAAGTTCAGTTTTTTCAGTTAGCTGGTTTGCCATTCAAAAGAAGAAGGATTTATGGTTAAACTGAATAAAGTACAAGAATGAATAAAGATGAAGATCTATGAATAAAGTACAAGCTCTTAAAAGCTTAAAATTGACATTACTGATAATTTTTATTTGAATTCTAGTAGGTTTTCTTAAAAGATAAAACTTTTTTCTTTGACTGGTAAAAGTTGCTCATTTGGATGATGTTTGAAACTTCTTTGCTACTTCAATATATTGGGTTGGCCAATCAGTAATGAGTCACACGTAAGAAAGGAAATTTTGCCGTAAAGTTTTAGTTGGCTCTTAGTGTTTACCACTAAAAGAGACAACAGTCTTCCTTTATTTCAAAACGCTTTCATTGATTTGACATGCTTTCTTATTTCTTTATTAACTACAGTCGAACCTCTCTATAACGAACCTCGATATAACGTAAACCTCTCTATAACGTAAGGCGTGACCGGTCCCGGCCGACGTTAAACTATATGAAACGGCACTCTATATAACGTAAACCTCTATATAACGTAAGCTATAGCCGTCCCGTGAGTTACGTTATAGAGAGGTTCCACTGTACTTCTTTTTTCGATTAGTGAAAATTTGCCAAATTCGCATATTCAGCGTGTAATGCTATTTGGGTTTGCTAAATGCTCATCTTCGAGCCTAGCTCTAGAGTATATGGTCATCTGATCATAAGAAAAGTATATACTGTATTTTCTCTAATAGTAGTGCACCCAAGCGAGCCGAGTTGGTTTACGGCTTCCAAAGTTTTCACAGAAGCTCAACACTCAAATCCCCCACAAGATCTCATCGTCAGTTATATTTTCCGACCCCACATCGATAGGTTCTGATAAGCGGTTTTTGAGATTTCGAGCAGTTTAGGCGACGCTCAGGGTGCACGACTATTAGAGAAAATATGGCATTGAAAAAGATGGAAACTATTGAATATTTTGATGGATGGAAACAATATTTTGATGGAAACAATATTTTGATTGATTTAGATGGCTTTATTGAATAAATATTTCTGTTTGAAATTGACTCATTACTCGGCCAAACCAATAGCTTATACTTGAATCTACTTGAATCTACTTGAATATAACTTTAGAGGTTATAAAATTCATGAAAGTTCTAAAAGTTTTTCAATAAAAACTCACGGAACATGACAAATCTTTTGAATGACTTCAAATGTGCCCTCTCCTGTGATGTTAAGTTGGTTGTAGTGTGTCTCGTGATCTCGGAAAAGATTCGTGTAGTCTTTTTCTTTCATCGATTCTGATAGTTAGATAGCAAAGATGTAACAAATAAACAAATAAATATATTAGGTTGGCGACATTGAAATTTCGTTTTTTTGCAGCAACAAAATTTATTCGTAAAAATAAACTAGAAACAATTAATCAATAATCTATTCCCCACAGCTATCAATAACATTTTTTCCATCCTCAACGCAAATTATGGATACTCTCTTGAAAGAATTGTGCTGGTTTTGATTGAAAGAAAGCAGAGACCTATTTTTTGATGTCGTCAATGTTCTGAAACTTGTGGCTTTCGAGTGAATGCCGAATACTTCGAAAGAAATGGTAGTCAGACGGGGCAATATCTGGACTATAAGGCGGATGAACTAGAAGTTGCCAGCCCCATTGCTCAATCTTCTCTTGCGTAATTTTGGCAACGTGAGGACATGCATTGTCTTGTAACAATCGCACCGTTGTCGGATCAATTCCTTTTGAGCAAAGAACCGCGTCCACGCGATCTAGTTGTTGAACGTAAAGATTTGCATCAACAGTCTGACCAGAAATTAACACTTCGAAATGAACCAGGCCTCGGATATTCCACCAAACCGACAGCATAACTTTCTTTCCGTGAAAATCTGGTTTAGGTATTGGCTTTGGAATTTCTCCCGGGTCGAGCCATTGTCTTTTCCTTGTAATATTGTCATAATGGATCCATTTCTTATCCGAAGTTAAAATTGCATCCCAAAATCCACTATTCTTGGAAATTCTAAGCAAATTTCTTGAACAAAGGACTCTGATGGCTTTGCTTGCATCGCTTAGTGAATGTGGAATCCATTTTCCAGCTTTATTGAGCTTGCCCAATTCATGCAAATGGTTTTCGGTTGTTTTATGATCACAATTAAAATATTCCGCAAGTTCACATGTAGTCTTTATCGGATCACTTTCGATTATCTGCTTCAAATCGTTGTTTGTCCTCGTCCCAGATCTTCCAGACTTCCGCCACCCTTTCGAAATCTTTTGAACCAGTTTTGAGATTGATGAACAGTGATAACATCTTTCTCAAATACGTTACAAAGTGATTCATGTGATTAAGTTGCTATTTTTTCATGTTTGAAATCGTACAGCAACAAATGCGAAGTCGATATTTTGAAGTCGTCTAGCATCTATAAGATTTTTTTTATTAAAATTCTTCAACTGGAAATAAAGAAAAGACGCGTAATAAAGCACAATAATTATATCTTTAAAACAGAAGAGATTGCGGTGGTAATAGTATCCACAGTGTTAAAATCCATAAAGAGAAACGCAAACGAAATTTCAATGTCGCCAACCTAATATCAGATCGTCTATGATGATTGAAAAAACACAGTTTGATTGAAACAAATGTTTATTGACAGATCACTAAAAGACTTCCGTTCTTTTTCAGAAATTCGTGACTGCTCTTCGTTTAATAGCGCGCTCCAGCTACCGTACCCTCGTCGCCGTCAAGCAATGTGCGTATATGAGGCCATTTTTTTCATTTTAATGGGATTGTTTTATTTTGTAAATTTATTTTTTGTTTATCTAATTGTAAGGTTCTTTACTTATTTTGGTGAAGTGATATTCGGTTTTCAGTTTATAGAACTTATAAAGATTTATAAAGAAAAGCAACGACCTAAAGTTAAGTTATGTGTTTGAATGAAGTTACTTTGTTTTGAAGAGTTTTTTTTCGAGACCATAGCCGGCAAGAAACATTGTAACAACAGAAGAAAATTTCAGTCGAGACAACAACAACAATTTTTTCATCAAATAGGTAATTTTTAACGTATTAATTTAATTTAAACATGGGTGGCATATAACATTAAAAAAATTTGGAACAAAGGAGAAAAAACCAAGGCTTATATACGCTTGACGGCGGCGAGGTTACCAGAGCTGGAGCGCTCTATGAAGCGGAAAGCAGCTATGGACTTCTGAAAAAGAATGGAGGTTACAAAGAGACACTCCTAAAGCAAACTTTATTACCCTTATTGACAACAAATTTCGGTAAAAAAATTTGCATTTTATCATTGAGTTGGGTTCGACGAAGTCTTGCATATTCTCAAGCAACGTTTCCGCCGTCCGATCGTCAACTTCCGTCAAAAAGTGGAAATATTATAGTATTTGAGGCGTTTGAGTACATTTATTGGAATTTAACCGGCTTTATGCATGGATCTTTTGTTTAGTAATAGTTGCCAAATTTCAAAGTTTCGTGTGCCAGACACCAAAAGATAGCGATGTCAAAATTTTCCCCGTAAATCATGGAACCAATATGCCTCTAAACTTTTCGAAGTTGGTGATTGGGCAAGGTATATCTTTCAATGCTTCAATAAAGCTATCATTTTACTGGATAACCCAGAGCCTTATCACCCTTTTGAAAGGATTCCAGGCTTCGATTTTCACCTTAATTTCTTTACGATCGACCTGTCATCGACTTCTCAGCCAATTTGAAGCTAATGAAATAAAAGAGATCATAGCAATAGATATATTAGGTTGATGCATAAGTCTTTTCGTTCCTTTTCGTCTGCCGTTTCAAGCCAACAAATGCACCAATTAAACTACGGTTGGTTTCATTAGAAAAACCAATTATTTTTCTGCAAAATAACATTAAAACGGGTTTAAAAATATTTAATGTCTGGATTTTCTTGAGAGTATGAAGTCGGGTAGTCAAAAAGGGCTAACTCGATGATGCGGTTTAGACACCTTAGCTAAAGAAAACCTATCTTCGTGTCAATAGATAAAAGATAGAGAAAAAAAAGTTTGATATTTCGCCAAAATTTCAGAGAAATTCATTCAGCCAATTTTTCCGTAGAGTTTTTTATAGATTTTTACGAAAAAGGCGTTTTTCACTCTCGAATTTGCTTGAAAGTGAACCGAAATTGATTTAAAAAGATGCAAATTGAACAAAAAAACACTTTTTTTATAGAGCAAACTATAGATTAATTGGTGAATTTGTTACTTTTTCACAGAAGTACGAATAAAACGAAAAGACTTATGCATCAACCTAATAAATATGAATGCAATGATTTTAACAGACGAGAAAAGCCTAAAAACGACAGAGTTTTTAGGCTTTCCTCATCCTCATCCTTCCTTTGTTTCATTTTTCTTCTTTTGATTCCGTTCATTGTTATCCTATTTCCCAAAACCCAGAACCAATCAATATGGGAATAGAGTGGAGAGATAAGACATCCCTTTCTTTCAAAAGTTTTTGCCCTCACATTCTAACTGCTTTTCGAATTTTCATTTCATCTCCTCTTTTATATTTTATATTATTAAGCTTTAGCTTGAAGCCTTATCTGTGAGAAATGACAACATCCAGAGAAGCGACAACAACATTTGTTGAACGTTATATTGGGAGTGGAGGAATGGGGCATATATATGAATTGATTGGACACGAACCGTTGGTTATTTTCGATCGATCCACCGCTATGTTCAAAATTTAGTCTTTTGTAGAGGTTGTATTGTTTAGCTTCTTTGTTTAGCCCAGCTGTGATCAAGTACATGGCGTGCAACAATGACAAAGATCGTGAAATGTTCAAGAATGAATGTGAAGCTTTGAAGACGCTATATCATGTAAATGTTGTCCGATTGTATCGATATACAGAAGAAGGAATAAAAGTCGGAATTATGATGGAATATTGTGAGAAGGGACCACTCAAGGCAGGTTGGGATTGGACCGGAATTGTTAGAGCTTAGAGTTTAGTGATCTTTGATCCAACAATCACATATTCAATGAACACTGTTCTCACCTGGGCAATCGAATTATTTGATGCCATTAATCACATGTATCAGAAACACAAATTGGTACATCGAGATATCAAACCAGACAAGTAATATTCAGTGGTCAAAATGTCGAGGTTGAATTCATTTATAGCATTTTTGTAACAAATGAATACCAGCTGAAGATTGGTGATTTCGGATTGGTGAAAGTAGTGGGAGATGGGACTGTTACGGGGACGTTTATTGGAACGCCACGATATATGGGTCCACCTGAAATGAAGGAGGATGGGGTACAACGGGATGTTTATGAACAAATAAAGGGGGCTGATGTATCGGTTAGTTTTACATTCATTTCTATTCAATGATGAGATATATTCATTCCAGGATTCCCATCGAAATGATGTCTACAGTCTGGGACTTGTTATGTGGGAAATCATCGAAAGAAGGTATTCATGTTTAAATAGTGACCTCCTTTGAGATAGGACTAAAACTTCGAAACAACATTGTCATTGTTTTAGAACCATCTTCACAAACTATGAGAGGTCTGGAGGGTTTGATCGTGACGAATTATTGTTTGATATTGCACTCAAACGTGTTACTGAAATCGAATCACCTGAATGTCAATCAGAAATTCGAAAAGTCATCTTGAGGTTTGAATTTAAGAATTTCTTTTCTATTTTAAAAATTCACCTATCAGATGTACTAACTTTCAACGTATTCATCGTCCACCAGCTTCTGAAGTTTTGGATTTCCTTGCTCAAACGCAGAAAGTGAGCTTTTCTGAAAGAAGTTAAATTTCTCGTTTGCTATTATTTTGGGTTGGAAAGTATTTCTTTTCACTTATTTTACCATAAAAAGAACTAGAATTTTAATGGTTCGTGTGGAATTTTCAGAACTACCAAGTATTTTAAAATAAATTTTTTAAAAAAAGAATGAAAATTAAATTTTGAAAATCTTTTGTGAATGAATGTGAATAGAACGGCGGGATTGAAGTTGACTTATGTTCACATGGCATGTAAATCCGTGTTCCATCACAAAAAATCATCTTTCTTTCAAAATATACACCGAGAACTTTAAAATAGTTGAGCTTAAAATTTCAGCAAATTTCCGGTTTAAAACAATTAGAAAAACGCTTCTTGGTGATGATTTTCTCACCGACCTGCAGACAAAGATCTCCAAAATAAGCGTTCTCTGAGTGAAAAATGCCTAAACGCCCACTTTCTGGCATAGCTATCTTTGGTTTCTATTCTCTCTATTTTAATGGTAAAATAGGTAAATAGGAGTAAAAGGAAATTTTGTGGTTCAAACAACGAGTAAAATACTGCAGAAAAGCGAGTTAATTTGTATTGGGTTTGGTGAATTGAAAACTGCCGACTATTTTCATATGTGACTGTTTGAGCACTTTCTTGAAAAGAAACCCATTTTGCTGTCATTAGAAAAGTTGCAGAGAATCAAAAATTAAGCTTATATCCAAATTTTCAGAAGGACTCAAAAACTGGTTGTCAAGAAATGCCAAATTTACCAATTTTCACAAAACTTGCATTTTAAGCGAAACTACTAAGTGTATCTTTTTGGAAATTTGGCTATAAGCCTAATTTTTGGTTCTCTACAACTTTTCTATTGACACCAAAATGGGTTTCTTTTGAAGAAAGTGCTCAAACTGGGACATCTCCAGTCCTCCATTTTTGAGTCTCACACTTGTCTCACACACAAACCAAAATCCTACTATGAAAGAGGAATCCGCAAATTGTCTGTAAAATGGGCAAAAGTCGTCCATAATAATGGAAATTATTTCGAATGAATTCATGGTTTTATGTTCAATAAATTTTAGTTCAAAGTCCGGCAGTTGTCCATTCACCAACCCAATAGTAATACTATTCATACTTGGGTAATGGAACCAAACATAACCGGCTGTATGCCAGAGAGTGGGCGTTTACGCAGTTTAGGCTGAGAGAACACTTATTTTGGATATGTTTGTCCGGAGATATGGTAGTCCTAAGAATTCTACATAAACCATGAAAATTCTAGTTATTTTAGAGGTTATTTTAAATGAGTAACTAGGAGCAAATGGGAATTTGCGGAGTTGCATACTTCCCAACCGAATAGTTGAGTAAGTTTCCTTCTTTGAAAATTAAAACTTCAAAAATATAATAACCTAGGCAAATCAATTCATCTCTTCACTCCCTTTTATGCCCACAGAAGATAAAAGCCAAAAAGAAATGATGAAACCGATTGGATTTGATGATACAACAGAATGGGTTATGGTTGAAACTGAGGAAAGAAAATATGCAAAGAGATTCTTGGAGAAGCCATGGGAAGATATTGATCAAAATACAATTCGAGATAAACTTCGAACGCTCTTCAATAATATCCCCAGAATAATGCGAAAGAAACTCGGAGCACTAAATTCTGCTGAAAGAGAGCAATTCTATAAGGAAGCACCAAATATTGTTTCAAGATTAAAAGAAGAAACTCAGACATTCAAAGATGCTCGTTATGTGATTCAGGGAATAATGTGGATAGAAGAAAAGAGGGCAAATCTACATGAAAAGGATATTTATGAGATATTTGAATTGTTTGTTTTGGGAGATTTTCAACAACAGCTCTTGGAAGAAGACATGGCTTTTGTAAGGCTTAAAAGTCACGAGGAGATTTGGGTATCAAGTTTTGTGAATAGGTGGTCGTCTGAGGAACGGGTTGACAGTTTGAAATATATAAAAAAAGAGAAATACACAACAAATTTCTATTTTCGATGTTTTATTTCTCAATTGACTGGTGAGGGATGGATTCATATAAAATCGGATGAGTTTGTAAGTGAAGACTTAAGATTATGGAAACGATTACCAGGAAAATGGGTAGACAATCAAAGAGCTGAAATCTGGAGCTATAAAATTCAAAATGAAGACAAAAAACATGAATTCCTTCATTTTTTCCGTTACGAACAAATCCCTCATGAACGAATCATTAAGGCATTTCAAAAGCAACAAAAAGGATGGAAAGTATCATAAAATTACACTTGAAACATCTGATTCCAATAGAAGATTCGGAGAAGAATAATGTTCCATTTAATATTGAATCATTTCTCGATGAATCTTCTGAATCTAAAAGATCTGATGAGCCCTATCCCTTCCCCCACTACATATTCCAATTAAGAAATCCTCCTCGTTCAGTTTGTCAAAAGAATCATCCAGGGAAATGTCAGATGGATGGGTTTAAAAAAATTTTTCAAAAAATGAAAAGATGGCTATCAGATTTACCTAAAGAATTGCTCATTCCCGTATGTGGTGAAATCACGGAAAATGAGGTTTTGTTTCTGGGAAGTTACATGGATTGTGTAGGATCTAATAGAAGTTTTACTTTTGCTTCCAGGAGAGACGCATTTCACATGGAACACCCATTTCTATTTCTCTGCTGTCAAAATCTCTTAGATATTCCATTTTTGATTCTCCTGGATCATCCAAATAATTATGAAAATGGGGAAAGTATTCCTGGATTGGATTTGAAGTACAAACTTCGTAATATTGACGCTGGAGTATTAAGAAAATACTTTGAAGAGTCAAAGCTCAATGAGAGGGTCTATGTTTTGATGGAGAATGTTGGAGGGACATCCTACATCCGCTTGATTGATTATCAAGGGAATCCAAAAACAGAATGGTGTGTGTTTTACAGTGTGCGCGAGAAATTCTTCAAATGAATAAAGTGTTTATCCAAATAGAGCCTTGAAATATCTACAAAATTGTCCGTAAAACCTACTTTCTGCCCTCTCTCAGTAGTAAATGCAATTTTCTCATAAACACACACAAATAAGAGAATTTTCACCAAAAGGGGAGTTGGAATCAAACTTTTATAATTTTCATAAACATGTTCAAATTTATTCTAAAAGATTAAACATGGCCATATTTAATGTGTCCAAACCTAGGCACTACTTAGTTTTGGTTGTACCATTATTTTCTCTGACTTTTAAACGGATTTCTGTTTCTTTTTCGTTCTGTAGATATTCATTTACATCCATAGTCAAATAAATTTATTATTCTCATTGATATGTTATTACTAAACGCAAAAAAAAGAAAAGTTTGTAGAATTCACAAATGTACAAGCAAGGATGGGAAAAGGAAGAATGAGTACCAATAAATGAAGAAAACCCGTAAATGGAAGGAAACAATAACAGGAGAACCGGTGTATTCATAAAAATGGGGGAAATATAAAAACAACTAGTTATCCAACAAGGAAAAGGGATTGAGTCAAGCTCTCCTTTTGACTTGAGACCAAGTCCATCTTATAGAGTCAGCCATGGGGATCTCGAATCCGTTTCTAGAACCGGTGTATTCATAAAAATGTGGGAAATATGAAAAGAATTGAGTGCTGAGCTGTGTTTTTGGGATTTGGATGTGAAAATTGGGAACCTCTTCTTCAAAATGGTACTTTTTCTTTACGGTTGCTGTAGCTTAGGGTCGCGTTTTAGCCTTGTAATAGACTTTGTGATCAAATCTTGTAAACACCACCTTTCTAGTGCGCCGATTTCTTCGTTTTTCTTGCAACAACGGCTCGAGCACGCCAGAAAGAATGTATCTACAAGATTTGATCACAAGGTACACAGTGAAAAAGTACCACCAGGGCAGTTTTTGAAGATCAAAACGAATGTGTCCTAACGATTAGCAAATTGAAAACGGGAGGAGTTGAGGGATGAATGGAGGAGACAGGACGAATGATCAAGGATGGAGATGGAGGGGGAGAAGCCCATTGAAATGCAGGAATTGAGGACATTGAAGAGGGAGTTGTAGGAGAACCGGTGTATTCATAAAAATGGGGAAATATGAAGAGAATTGAGTGCTGAGCCTTGTTTTTGGGAGTTGAATGTGTGATGGAGAAACTTTTCTTCAAAATGGTACTTTTCCTTTAGGGTTACGGTTTAGTCACGTCTTGGCTCTGAAATATACTTCACAATCAAATCTGGTCACACACCACCTTTCTGGCGCACCGATTTCTTCGTTTTCCTTGCAACAGCGACAACAACGACGAAAGGATATGTTTGCCAGATTTGATCACAAAGTACACAGTGAGAAGGTACCATCAGAGCTGGGCAGTTTTTGAAGATCAAAACGAGTGTTTCCTAACAATTATCAAATTGAAGACGGGAGGAGTTGAGAGATGAATGGAGGAGACAGGACGAATGGTCAATGATGGAGATGGAGGGGGAGAAGCCCATTGAAATGCAGGAATTGAGGACATTGAAGAGGGAGTTGTAAAACACTTACGATCCTCGTCACCTTGATCGGAGAGGCCGGAGAGGCTTCTCAAGGAATCCGAGATTTAGATATCTCGCGTTTACAAAGCGTTATGCAAAAACTAGAAACGGGTTCGAGATCCCCGTCGTCGCCTCTATAAGATGGACCTGGTCTCGAGTTAAAAGGCCAACTTGAATCGATCCCTTCTCCTTGTTAGATAACGCCTCTCTCACAGGAACACACTAACCCTACTCTCCTAAGGGCAGCATCAAGAGGAATCAAGAGGGTTCTTTTCATAGTAAAATGACCTCATACATTGTCTTGATCATGATTTGCCTCTCATACAGTAAAAAGGGCAAAATAACCATTTTACTGTGGTTTTGTCTCAGCTGTAATTTATACACAAATATGTGTATGAATTCTAGCCGCCTGTAATTTATACACAGATTACATATCTATGTGTATAAATTGAATCACA